GATCTCTTTATGTACCTTTAAAAATTCATAGACGTTCTCCCTGGTGCACATGCATTGCTATCCCTGTTGTGCTATTTCACAGCCTTCCTTTAGCAGATGGCATAGATTCTCACCTGCTTAAAGAGGGACGTTTGAGCCAGTTTAATGTTTTAAAAATAGGTCCTGGTGGAAAAAAAGAGTTGTGATACCAGCTTGTTTTTCAGAATTTGTTGTTGTTGTTGTTGTTAATTATCTGAGCTCTGTGTTTAATTAACATTTTGTTCAGGCCACACTGTTGGGTTTGACTGTACATGAGGCCAGAATACCAGAGCTGTGACAGCTTGATCATTTCAACTACTAACTTCCTGTGACATCACAACCACAGGGTCAAGCAGAAGTTGAAGTCTTGTTGAAAAAGTCTCTCACGGGAACTCACAGTAGCCCCCTCCTTCAAGATATTTAAAACTAGACTCAGAAAGTACTGGTAAATGCTGAAGGGAACAGCTCTTCATTGGCCTTTGAGCCAGGATGGACTAGCTGACCTATCAGGGCTTTTCCATCTGTAATTTCTATGAATATAAATCAGGATGTGTGTATATGTGTGCACGTCTGTATGAGGGATTATACATGCACACATCTGAACACACAACTGTGTGGGTGTATGAATATGACTCTGTATGTGTGTGGACCAAAATGGATTACAATTCTTGACCTGGAATCTGACAAACTCTCAGCCTGGGTTGGAGTTTTCATGTCCGTGTCCTCTCAGAACAGATTCAGGGACTTTGCAAAATGAAGGGAAATTGAGTACTGATGTATGTAACTGGTGTAATTATTTTTACTTATTCTGAAGTTCATTTCTGTAATTCCTTCAGCTGAATCCCTCTACTTGTATGATGGTATATGTACGCTCTTACCCATCTGACTCTTGGGTAGCCAGTGGAAAGCTGGGTTATGGTCACTCAGATATAGCCAAAGCCCAACCTTTCAGTTTTTCCTGTCTGGTCTGTGAGAGATTGGAACTAGTCAGGGAGAAGATAAGTGGTTGAGGAGTGGATATGGCTGGGGATCATAATGCTACTAGGCCCAGCTGATAGGTATAAAAGGGAGAAGAGGAGAAGTTGAGGCTGGACTTAACTCACAATGAGATTTTGCGGTGCTGCTTGGACTCCAGAACACTGAGAAGGTTTTATCTGGGCATTGTTTATATCCAGAAAAAGAAGGAATTTGGGTCTTAGTCTCCTCTCACTCACATTGGTTTAAGTCCTCAATAACTGCTGAAGGCAATGCAGTTACATTGGTGTTACGCTGGTATCAGTGAGAGGAAAATCAGGCCTGGCCCTTCTTTATTTCTGCTTTGGGAGTGAGCGACTCTTACTATTAAGGATAGAGAGATTCACCTTCCCCTTTCTTTCAGCCATGAAAGAGCTCTCACTGGATAGGACATGTTCCATATACAAGTATCTTCCTTTGTCATGCTCTTAGTTCACTCTTTGTTAATAGCCTTAGGAAGAAACACACAATGCTACCATTGACCTTCTGCAGGACAGTCCTCTCCACAAAACTGTCACCTAATTACATCTAACCTCTACAGTAAGAGTAGGAAATCCCATACATTCCCTGGCAAATAGTTCCTCCCACAGGAGGGATGAAATAGACCTGATTTTTCAAATTTAATTAAGACTTTTTTTTCTTGCCATGCAGCATGTCAGCCAAGCATAGTCCGCTGGCAGATGGCTGACTGGGAATTGAACTGGAACAGAAAAATGCAACATGAGAAGTTAATTGCAGTGGCCATATTCCTTAAACTTTTGAACTTTGGCAATGCATTTGTCTACTCATATTGCCAATAAAAATAACACTACCCAAAAGATAACACATTGAGTCTCTCTGCCACTGAAAGCAAAATAAACTACATATTCCTATCTGCAGCAGTAATTGCCATCATTTTAATAATTTTCAAATCTGTAAATGCAGAGAAACCATTGAGTGCTAACCCTGTCTAACCAAGGTTTTCATGGAATCCTAGAAGTCAGAGCTGGAAATAGACTAGTTAGTTTATCATGACCGTCACTCTAACTCTGCAGGATTCAGTGAAGGGCTTCACTGATCGTAAATCAAATCAGAATGTGTTAAAGAGATCCGCTCCCTTAGGCCTTACTAGGTCTTGGATATGCCCCCGAGAAAGCTTCTGAAAATATCTTTCAGGTTTTTAATACATGACGAGGACTTTACAGCTGTGTTTAATCATAGTGTTTCTGTGTAGACCAATAACAGAGCTGGATGTATTCCAAAAAGCTGTCAATTGTTTACACCTTAAACCTGAGGTTTTGTGCCAATTTTGCCTTTCAATGTGCACGAACAGCACCCAGTGAGAGCAATGCACATGCATCCACAGGCAGAAAATACCTCTTGGTAGGAGTGATGTGGTAGACAAACCCCACGCTGGAGAGTTAAGGGTGCAGGAACAATTCTGGGCTGGGGAAACCCCACTGCCCCATGGAGGAGGGACGTGGAAGGGAGTCTCTTCAGCACAGCAGGATGGTAGGTGGAGCGAGACAGACCTGCCCTTGCTGCTGCAAAGGAACAATGCCAGGAGGCCTTTCCCAGGGGAGGTCTGCTTCACAGAGCCAAGAATCCCTACCCTGCTGAGGAGGCTCAGGGAGGCATTAGCCAGACTGCCAGTAGTGGACTCCTGCCTTGTGCTCAAGAGGGATCTTGAGTTGGAACAGAGTAGAGGGGGAGGGACTGGGTTCCCCTACTGCATAACCGCTAAGCGGAGAGGCCCAACCACTGACAGTAGGACATAAAAAAGGAGACAGGGACTCTGAATAAAAGTGATATCAGACATGGTTAAATAGGTTAAAAAACAAACCTTCGTTTAATGTGCACAGTACTCAGGAGGGGGAAAGAATACATTGTACTATGGCAATACAGAGAATACACCATAACAAGCTCATCCATAGTAATTACTTCAGGCTACTCTTTCCAACCTCCAAATTCTCTCAAACCTATGCTCCTTTGTGAAACGCACACAGATCCATTTATCCGGCTGACTATATACCACAGACTGAATTCAGCCATTACCAGTTGTCCTGCTTATGGGTGTCAGACTCAGGAGCCAAGCACCATCTTCCCACCCAGGGAGACAGGCAGGCTGAGATATGTTGAAACTCCTCACACAGAGAGAGCCTGTAAGTAAAGTGGCCTCACTGAACAGCGGAGCCTATGACAAATTGTCAGGGCATCTGCCTTAACTGTATCCCAAATGTGGCTCATCGGTGGGAAGAGAAGCCTAAAGCAGTAGAGATTGTGAGAGAAACTACGAAACTTATAAAACGCCATTTCCAGACCCAGCTTTTTATTTCATGTTCTTCTCAATCCAGTCCTTGAATGGAATTGCTTTGGTATAGCCAGTGTAGAGTTCTAGGCTGCAAGTTTTATCGTAACCCCAGCTCACTAATCCCATCAGGTGCCATTTTAGCTCAGGAGACGCTTTTCCTGGCAAAGTTATGGCTGCAATGCCTCCAGTCTCAGCAGGGCAGATGTTAGAAAAGGCAGTGGGGTGCTGCCTGGCACAGAACATGCTGTCAGTGATGATGACCTGGATTCCATTATCCTCATATTGCTGCTCGCACAACAGCGAGTCCACCATCTGAACAGCTCCCATGCGGATTGTATCATTCTTGTAGCTGGGATCCTTAATGTCAGCGAGTATCTTCCAGCCAGTAATCACTATTCTTAAATCCTCTGTGGATGGGTCCAAATCATGAGCAGATGCCAGGCAAATGGGTTGAACATGGCTGCTGATTTTGGCTTTGTCCAGGAGTTTTACGATGGCCATGTCGGAATCAAGCAATATGGGGTCATAGTTTGGATTCACTAGGATGGCAGAAATCTAGGAAGGAACCAGAGAGGGGAAAAATTACAGGATTAATAATGATGGACAATAGAAGAATGGGAAATCAGTGACAACTTTTCCATGATATTTTCACATTTCATTTCAGATGATTTCGCACCACTCAAAGGTGCCTTGTCCATGCAACTCGGTCAAATCCTCTTTCAAATCAAAAACATACAAAATACTCAAATGCGATGTTTCAAAGACAACTTTTGCTTGGGATCTAATCAATTTTTACTGACAGTAAAAAGAAAGAAATCATGAAAGGCAATCAATTTTTCAACAACAATGGGCCCATTTTACAGTTGCAATGAAATTGGAAGAGGGAAGAGGGAAATATATTTCAAGTAGCTTCACCTTTTATTGAGAAAACTTTGCCTAGTCCTTTAGTGGACAATGACTGACTGCATGTCCATTTCAGTCTGCCGAAATGTAACAGTGTCCTACAACTGAACTAAAATATATCTTACTGAGTTTCTTCCAATAACTCACCACAAAAGAAACAGTTAATGCATTATGCAATATATAACTTTAGAGCCTAATCCTTTATCCCTTACTGGGCTGATAAGATGCTGTCAGAAGAAAACTCCAGGTAGCAGGAGCAGAATAGGGAAAGACATTCCTATCAAGAATAGTAAAATACTCTGGAGGGGCAGAGGAAGGTGTGGTTAGGTACCAAAATGAAGCAGAAAGTTGAATATAAAATAAAAAACAAAGCAACTGTATTTTATTGGAGAGAACATATGAATGAACTCAAAAATCAAAAAGAAAAACACATTTAAAACTGCTGAGTTTCTCCTGATTTTGATATGAAACCATTAGTCTGCCCAGATTAGCTTGGAAAATCAATTAACTCATCAAATTACTTTGATGAGAACTGGGCCTGAACTGTTATCTATGGATCTGGAGTCAGATCCAAACTTCCCCAAAGTTTGGAGTTATTCAGATCTGGGGCTGAAATGTATAATGAGTTGATGGTCACAGACCAGGATCAGTGGACATGTGTCTCCCTCCCCAAAAACAATCACCGGTTGGCATCTCTTTTTTTGGCAATCTCAGCCAAGAGGCCAATGGTTTAATGGGCTCAAAAAGCTGAACTAGTCTATTCATCCCTGTTTGTCAGGAGTGAGGGATGTTAGTGGGATGATGTGCAGGGAAACTTGCAGTGCTGCTGAGCCTCTCTTCCCCCCACCCCCCAACAGTTCTGTCAATGAACATGGGACTTCAGGCTCCAGGAATGTCAAAACAAAAGTATGTAAATATATATAATACATATTCCTAAGAATGGGCTTTTTACTCTTCATTCAAGATGGACCACAGGAGTGGTCCGGGTCTGTATCTCTGTCAGCATTTCTCCACTCCCATCTGAATGCCTTACTCACCCGTAAGTTCTGGATGGTCTTCTCATTTCGGTCGTCGTCCCTGTAAAATTTCCCCAAGACCACTTTGAGTTCCGCTGTCTTGAGGACAGTGATCTTCCCCAAGTCAGTGACACAGTGAGCTGCCACCACCACGGTGCGCTCGTTCACCAGGGCCCCACTGCAGATCAGGATCCACGCCCCCTTCCGGAGGCTGATATCCTTTACCCCATTGGCTTTCCGATAGATGGCTGCTTGCCAGGGCCATCTGATAGATGAAGTCTTTTGAAGAGTGATGTTTTCCGTTTTTCCACAGACTGTAAAAATACGAACCCAGGATGAGCTGATTCTTTTTCCTCAAGAATCTGAATGTCTCCACCTCCTGATTCCCAACTATGGTGTACCTTAGGGTACTAAACTTTATTGTTAGCACTAGGAAAATGTTTACCAATTCACCCCTGGATCAGCCTTGCAACATTCTACTCACTCACAAACACCTTGAGAATTTTTATTTTTAAAGGGTGAATAAAATATTATTAGTTTTTTTCATTCTCATTGGAATTTCTGGTAAAAGGTGGGAAGGTAGATTTTGCATCTGAACTAGTAATTTTCCATTACAATTTTGTAAGACTGCCCTATAACAATATAACTACATAAAGATATGAAAGAATCAGAACGACACCATAGTTATGTGAAAATTCCACCCTAAAACCCATCTTAAGCAACCACACAAGAATCGACCAGAAATGGGTCATCTCGTAGAAATGGGCTTTATGCAACTAAAGACTGAAAAAAATATTTCTAGATACTTGAGATGAGCCCAAACCAAAGCCCCAGATCCAAAGCCCTCTGAACTTTTGTTTGGATCTGAACTTTACAGTTGGCCCTATGCCAATAATGGGCTCTCCCAAATCCCCAGATTTGCTTAGCCCCTCACTCTGAACTAATTTGTACGCAGTTCTGAACTTTGCAAAATAGGCCCATCCTCAGCAGGATCGAGTAAAGGGAGTAGCCTCTTAAAAGTTCACTGATTCCACTTTATTGCTTTTGGTCTGATATATCTGTAAATTATCTGCCAAAGCGCAGAGACAAGTGAAAATCGGAATTTGCTCTAAGTGGGACAGGAAAATGTGAATAATAGGAAAATGTTTCCAAATCATAGGCAAACTTGGTTATGTCTGTTGCTTTGCTAGATGATTAGAAAGCCTGCTGGCAAATTACAAAACTGAAAGCTTGACTCCTTGCTCGGTGTCATCAACAGAAGTTCCACTGAGGAGTAGAAAGAGTCATCTATCTTCCCAGTGTCATTGCACCTTCTCGCCCAGCTGGGAGCACAGGCAGCCTACATTGTTAGGAATCTCCAATTATCTAAGATGAATACATGTCCCCCCAAGGAGATGTGCACTTCTTTTCTTCTTAACAACTCACTTGGAACGCATGAGGGAGCCCGCCCGCTCCATTTTCCTGTCTTCAGACAGGTCCTCCTGCTGCTTCCCAGGCGGCGGTAGAAGGGAGAAATGCAGTCATACTGAAGCTGAGTGTGCAAATGCTGGTACCCTGGAGGCAGATCTCCAAAGGGCAGCATTGGCTTCTTGGTTGGATATATTTCAAGCTTCTGTTTGCTGAATGCAGAAGAGTAGAGTTGATGCAAAGGCGTCTCTCTGTTTCACCACAGAAGAAACACGGGGAAATAATAATATGACAAAAAAGATCATGATCATTGCTTTATCACCAGCTGCGCTAAGTACCATTTAAAACATGAGGGCTTTGCTTATTTGCTGGAAGCACAAGGCAAAAAACTCTCCAACACAGTTTAGCAGAATTCCCCTTTTGCAGCTCAGCCTTTATATAGATGGGGGGGAGGGGTTGTTTTTGTTTTTTTAGTTTACTTTTTCTGGAGTGTCTCCAGTCACATAGGAATATTTTGTGGATAATAGTTCATGTTATCACCATTTGCGAAAGACATGTGATGCTGCATTTTTAAATGAAAAAATTATACTAGAACTGGGTGTCACTATAATTAATTTTCACTAGAGAGGAGTTTAGACTCATTCTTTTTCTCTAGTGCATTATAATAGGCAGTATTGGGAAAAGATTCAGACTAAACCATGTTGATAAAGTAGCTTGATTTAGCAAACAACAGAGATAATTACCATACCAGAGAGAATATATAATTGCACCAATCACTAAATTTTAGTTTAGGAATTGCACTGATTTGACGAAATATGGGACCTATTTTTAAAGTTTAAATGTGCTCTCAAAATGAAATTAACCATTCTGAATGTGTACTATGAACTTTACAAAGCTAATATTTTAAATCCTTCATTCATGAGAATTACATGATCTTTGTGAGAAAGCACTTGGAAGTACATGAAGGTCTGATTGCTTGTGAGGAAACCTATTGAAATCTGCAAAAATGGACAGGAAATGAGTTTCCTGTGAGATTCCTGTTGCAGCCAGTCAAGCCAGAAATGCCTGGGGAATAGATTTTTCTCATGGTACTTAAGCATATATCCCTTATGGTCCCAGAGAGACAGCTTGTCTTATGTATGTGGATTACATGTGACACTCCTCAAAGCCAAGATACTAAGGCTGAGAGCAGTGGCAGTAAAGTCAATTTCTTTTCTTTAAACAAGAAGAAGTCTGAATAGGAAGGATGGTCCAGTTGATAGGACACTAGGTTAGGACTTCTGACACCTATGTTCAGTTCCCTATTCAGCTGCCAACTTTCTGTGTAACAGCAGATAAATCACTTTCTCTGCTTCAGTTCCCCAACTGTACAAATGAGGATAATACTTTCCTCCTCCATGGGGAGACAAATTCAATTAATGAGTTTGAGATGCCCAGATACTATGGTGATAGGGGCCAGATATGTTTCTTGGTGGCATGTGTGTTAAGCAGTGTGAATCTTTTAGAGATGTGTGTGTGGGAGGGAGACTGAAGATATTGGTGATGTTTGCACTGCCTCTAAAAACATAAAAGATCAGCACTGCAGAGTGGCACAAAACCAAAAAATAATAATGATTATAAAAAAATTACTCTGAACATGGCAGAATCCCCAGACAGATTTGGGCTGGGTTCTTTTTGAGAAATGAGCAAAAGTTCAGGGCAGGCTCTGATTTTTTTCTGACTAAGCTTTCCCATCCCTATCCAGCCCAACTTCCTACCACATCATGTAGCATCTCTTTGAGTGATGGTGCCTACTGCAATAGACCACCCTAGGATGCCTTCCCCCTTCACCCCCAGTTTCTTCAGTAAGACCCCACAGTCCCAATTGCAAAACACCATCACTAGCCCCAAGGAGTCTCTGGGGAACCCCTGCTGGCTGTTACAAAGCTCACAACCCTAATTCTGGCTGCATCCCGTAGGGGGAATAAACGACAAACGTTCTTAAAATTGAGGCATTACAATCTCACCTTGACTGAACCTGCATTGGAAGCACTTTCTGTCTCACCAGGTCAGAGATCTTTGGCTCTCTGCAGGCTAGAAAAAATACAATGTTGCACAATCCTTTTCCATGTTCAGAGCTCAAATGTTATGGTTCAGATACCTGCCCACCTTTCCTGTCATTAGCAACAATGGACTGGATTAAGAGAAGAGGCAATACATAGATATAGTTATATGCATTAAAATATATGCGGTAACACCCCTGTTAGCCCTGTTATAGAGAGATCTGATGATTATGTTACTGTATGTTTCTCTAAACAAATGCTCACTGTTGGAATGATAATTGTTTTGTCTCGGATATATACATGGCAAGGATTTGTAAACCTGTTAAACCTGCCTAAATAAATAGTGATAGATGGATAGAAAGAAAAAGCTAGGATCCTCAGCTAGTCTCTTGTGGTATATTACATTCCCAGTAGACATTGAAAAGAGTTGAGCTCACTCTCTCTCTCTCTCTCTCTCGCTCTCTCTCTCTCTCTCTCAAACTCTTTTCAATGTCTACCGGGAATGTGATATACCACAAGAGACTAGTTGAGGATCCTAGCTTTTTCTCTGCCCCTAAAAATACTTTTTCTATCTATCTATCTCATTTGCCAGGCACCCATCCTTGTAATATCTGCGTTTCTTCTGCTTAGGCAGGTATAATAGTTTTAGCCATAGAGAGAGAAATGACCACCAGTGCTTTTGCAGAGCAATAATTAAAAGACCACAGCTGATTATTTGCAATCTGAGTGAACTTTTGTCAAAACTGAATTAAAATATATAATCGCCATCTGCCTAGGCATACATGGATAATCCAGATGATTGGGCACTTGGCAAGAAAATAGTAGGATGTTACAGATAGCTGCCAACCTGTTAGCTTGTACACCCTTCTGAGAGGGGCCTAATTCGAACGAGCATAACAAGTTGGCTCAAATTTGCCTAAGATAACAGAAGGGGGAATCCCAGGACTTTAAATTATGTATATTATAATTATTTGGGGGGGGGGGAATAGATATTTGATGGGTCCTTAATAATTCAGCTAATTGTGCCAAGATCTCTTTCCCTCCAGTAAAGTGGATGGACTGAGGGATTCCTGTTGGATGAGGTTCATCTGTATGTTTGAGAAGTCATACACTGTGGCATTCTACAGTATTTAGTTGCATTTTTGATTAATAACATATGTTAAATCTTGGGTAATTGTTAACATCAATCAAAAGGGTTAGAGGGAAAAGGTACTTTCTATCAATGGAGCACTTAACACAATGTGCGGCGAGGCTGTTTAAACCTTAAAATACAGAAAAAAAACCCCAAAAGGATAAATAATTGTCCTTATAATATTTCATTTTGTTTAACAAAAATCTGTAAATATGTATTACAAAATTCTCTCTCTTTGGGGAAAAGTTTAGACAGTTCCCAATACAAATTCCTTCCTCTTGTCGTGGTTCCCATCACAAGTCTATTAGACCCTGAATCAGCAGAGCACTTAAACACATGCTTAAGTGCTTTGCTGAATGCAGATGGATTGCTGAACCAAGTCTTGAAAGGCTGCAGACTGAAAGCCTGATCTTGCAAACCCTTACTATTGTAAGGAGTTCTGTTGACTAAGCCTGATTGCAAACTGGACCTTGTGAAAGCAAGGCTAATAATTCCTTATACACAATAGACCTTTCTTCATTTTCCAGTTCCCCGGTGGTCTTCTTTGATGCACTGACCCTACCCATATCTAATCCCAATATGGGGGTAGGGAAAACAAAGGTATTGGGGGAAATGAGATAAATTCCTATACTTTCTTAAAGGAAGAAACTTCTGCTGGAATCACTAGCATTTTCCCTGGCTGAGTTCAGCAGCCAGAGAGAGTTGGCAGACTATCAGCTTCAGTATCACGTGCCAATCTGATTGAGCCATTTCACACACTTTTATTGAAGGTATTTAGAAAACAGATAGTTTAACCAGAAAATAATATACAAAACAAACTCCAGGTAAAACATATCAGTTTTTATGAGCTGTAGCAAAGAGACTGAAAACTACCTTTTATGCAGATTGGTTGTTTCCCTGACCACTCTCCACTGTCTTGGCAGGTCCTCTGCTCATTACCACTAAGAACATATGAGTTGTTACAAAAGAAAGCAATGACTGTGCCGATTTTTGCATAGCGTCCGGTCATTAGCCCAGTGTCGTCCACCACTCTTCTGTAGCCATTGAATGGGCCACCAGGGTCTGAGCAGTTTTTTTCTTGTAGAACTAACAAGAAAAAAAAGTAAACATTTTTCACAGAGAATTAATTGTGAGCCCCTGATCATTTGACATTTCACGCAGACAATGCTACACAAATTATACTTAATTTACAATTATTTTTTTAAACTAAATGTGATGCCAGGACTAGTCAGCAACAAATACTAAAGGGACAATGTCAATGTAGAAGTCTTAGCCTAGAACTAATAGCCATACTGCTAACAGCACCGTAGGTTTTTTTAAAAGCTGAAAGGCTTTAAACCGAAAACAATTTTAAAAATCTAATTTAGGCCTCAGTCCTATAAAACGTTAGGCATAAGCTTAACTTTATACACAGTGAGTTGTTCCATTGGCTTCTACAGGACTACTTACAGTGCATAAAATTAAGCATATACATAAAACTTTGCAGGATCAGGGTCTTTTGTACCATTTTTCCTATTTTATTTACTTTCCACATTTCACTAGGTTTGGATAATGAAACTAAATTACTTAGGTTCACTTTTGTTTATATTCAGTTTCTTTTCTTTTCTCCTTCTCTTTTTTCTAGCATTAACATAGAGATCTTAACAATGCAGGGAAATACTGAAATATAAAGAACACCGATTTTCTCTGAAATAAAGAACAAACATGAAAACGTTCTTATTCACATTAGGTTCTATCTATAAAAAAACTTTTTTTCTTTTCTTCCTCAAGCCCCTCCCCATTTTTCTTTTCCCTTTATTTATTTTGTTTTTCTCCTACCCTTTACTGCTTTTTTGTGGCTTACAACTGGTTGAAAATGTTCCTTAAAGTGATATTTTCCCCTACTTTTTATTTTTTTCAGCTTTCTGCTGTTTGTGTTACCCATTTAGAAGCTCTGTAATAAAAAGAATATTTCCTATTAATATTGTCCATTGGCAATCATTGACTTTTCCCCCCCTGCTTTTCTTATGAGGCTGAAATTAATGTGTATTTTTTTGCATCATAGATGGGGTCAATGCAACTCCCATCTATTTTCCTGAACTGGGCATAAGTCTTCATTTTCCAGATACTTTCTGACTCAGCAAAGCACTTAACCATATGACTAGCCTTAATCACATGCTTAAATCCATCCCTATTCTGCACATTGCTTAAGCATGTTCTTTTTACATTAACATAAATGGGACTTAAGCACGTGATTGAAGTTAAGCATATGCCTGAGTGCCGTGCTGATTAGAGATGGACTTGATCACCTGCTTAAAGTTAGGCACATGCGTAAGTGCTTTGCCAAATCAGAACCATATTGAAGAGGCAGGAAGAGGTAAAGCTGAGCTCCCTGACGCTCAGGAGAGGGAGAGGAAGGAAGCTCTGTGCCTGCTTTTAGTTTAGTTCCATCATTCTCCCCCTTGCTGTACTCCTGTTCACGTTTCACAGATTAATTTCATTGCCTTCACAACACCTTGTGGCTGGTACATTGCTAGTGGTCATTGTGACGTTGTGCAGTCTATATGGTTTTATAAAAACATAATAAGAAGTGAATATAATGTAACTGGAATAGTTTTATAAAAATATGATAAGTGAATATAATGTAACTGGAATATGCTTCATGCAAAAGGTCTCTTGTAAGGTATCATTACAAAGCTTATAATGTACTGAGTGTGATCATCCTATTTATATAAATGTACCACTCTTGTATCTAAAACTAGAAATATGAACTATAACTCTGAGGGCCTATTGTAATTATGCAAAGTGTGGGCCATTAATGGTGGTTTGGAATCTTGAGGACTCCCATTAACCAGGACCATTGTCTGCAGATGGCTGTGTTTACCTGTTAGTCTTCCTGTATATGTGTGTGCTGGCAAGTGGGTAATGAAGTCTTGCAGTGACATGTGATCATGTCACCTGACCTGGAATCCATCTTTAACCTGGTGCTTTTCCAGTGGGGAGGGGGGTGGAAACCCAGAGGGACAAAGGGTTCCCACCTTATGCAAAAGATATATAAAGGGGTGGAAGAGAACAAGGGAGGAGAGGAGCCATCATGAAGAATCCCCTAGCTATCACCTGAGCTGCAACAAGAGCTGTACCAGGGGAAAGAATTGTGCCCAGGCCTGGAAGGTGTCCAGTCTGAGAAAAAGCTTACTGAAGCATCTCTGAGGGTGAGATTATCTGTATTCAGTTTGATTAGACATAGATTTGCGCATTTTATTTTATTTTGCTTGGTGACTTACTTTGTTCTGTCTGTTACTACTTGGGACCACTTAAATCCTATTTTCTGTATTTAATAAAATCACTTTTTACTTAGTAATTTACTCAGAGTATGTATTAATACCTGGGGGAGAAAACAACTGTGCATATCTCTCTATCAGTGTTATAGAGGGCGAACAATTTATGAGTTTGCCCTGCATAAGCTTTATTTGGGACATAAGCTTTATGCAGGGTAAAACGGATTGATTTGGGTTTGCCCATTGAGAGTTGGGCATCTGAGCGCTAAAGACAAGCACACTTCTGAGAGCTGTTTTCGGGTAAACTTGCAGCTTTGGGGCAAGTTATTCAGACCCTGGGTCTGTGTTGGAGCAGACGGGAGTGTCTGGTCCAGCAAGACAGGGTGCTGGAGTCCTAAGCTGGCAGGGAAAACAGGAGCAGAGCTAGTCTTTGCACATCAGGTGGCAGCTCCTAAGGGGGTTTCTGTGATCCAACCCGTCACAGTCATGACTCACAATGCCACTCCCATCACCACGTGATCTCACAGAAAGTCACAGAAATGGAGATGGGGAATTAAGATACCTGATGTGCCTGTCTATAGTTACTCTACAAATACTTGACCTGCCTACAGGCACTGACCCGGGCTACGATCTGGCCTGTCATTCTGGACAGGAAGAAACCACACCACATCAGTCTATCCTTGTTGAGTAATGCAAAGAAATCACACCAAGGAGCCTTTTTTTGTACACTATTTTCCATAGTAGCATCCAGCATGGTTGCACCGAGTGGTTAGTAGAGCCCTTGTATTTCAGAAGTACCTGAACTTCTCTGAACCAAGTAAGCTAACTGCCTCCACTTGAAAAGGGCCTTCTCCTATCTGACCCTGCATATCGCTGACTTTGTGAGAGCACTATCATTTCTATGGTGTCAGACTGTGACAGAAGTTAAGAATAGGGCTATGACTTATCTGACAGATTAAACAGAAGGAGAAGCCAGTTGGGAAGAACACGCTTCTTGCAACATAGATAGCTTCAATAATAGACAAGGCTAGAGGCAGATCAAGTTATAGACTAAAGAGGTGCAGCCAATGTCATCATAATGTTTGGGACACTGTCATAGACCCAACTCCAAAACATTTATTTCAGTTGGAGAATTTCTATCCATCCCAAAGGATGTCCTTAATTGTGCTTGCTGACCTTCAAGAGCTCTTATAAAGGAGTTCCCAAACATTCCCCAGAATATTTTGCATTGTTTGCCTCAGCATCTTTTTGAAAGCCCTACTCGAACCAGTGCAAGGGATTCTGGAATCTGGGAACAAAAGCTGTCCAGTGGGAAACAACTGAAACAGAAGCATCTTTCTGGAAGAAGAAATATATACATGACACTGTTTGGCTAGGGGGGTGGAAAAGAAAGATTTGGATCTTCAGTGGCAAATCTAAGGTTTGCCTTCATACTAGCAAGGCAACATTAACCAAAAGTATTTTTCTTTTTCTAGCATGACTGTCCTGTTGCTATGTTACTCTGTTCTCTCCACAATACGCCATTTAATCACTGCCATAGAGTGCAATAAACCTCTTCAGAAGAAACATCAGATGCACAGTAGTGCTGGAAATAGCTATTCATTAATGCACAAGACACACATGGTCCTCTTTTGTATTTCAGGTTCTAGAAATTGTGCAATCATAGTCCAAGCCCAGCAGTCTTTGCTTAGACATAGATGAAACAATGGGAGCTTTGCTTGAGTAAGGATTGCAGGCCTGGGCATCAAGATAGTAAATTAATATCCACTACAGTGTCTTAAAAATACAGAAATGAAAGAACATTGTGTTAAGTCATGGATGTGCCCAATTCCAAGTGAGATTTGGACATTCCAATATTTAAATCCCAATAGCTTGTTTTAATGACAATACAATAGATTAGGCATGATAAGAATCAAAACTTAAAGCAACCTTACCACATTCAGGATGATGTGTTGACCAACTCCCATCAAGCTGACAGTAGGCAACACGGCTCCCTTTTAAGTTGTAACCTGCGTTGCACTTGAAGTAAACCTGGGCCCCGTATTTAAAGTCATCTCCTTCCACAATACCATGAGCGGGAGCACCTGGAGTCCTACACATCACCACTGACAGTTCAGATATTTCAAAAAAATCCACTTTATTACAAAAACAGGACTGTGTTAGGAAGATTCTTTATGTAGAACATTAAAAAAATAGCTTAAAAATGGGCACAGGAGTCAAAATTACAAGACCAGGTACATGCAAGTTCTTTCAAAAATTCAGTGAGGTCCTGATCCTACAAACACTTATGCACATGCTTAACTTTCAGCATGAGTGGTACCATTCAGTTCAATGGGATTACTCATGTGTGCTAAGGTAAGCACATGCCTGAGTGTTTGCAGGACTGGGGCCTTAATTTGCTGAAACTGTCCCTGTTCGAAGCTCCCTCCATCTCAATAGGAGTTTTGAAGGAAGTACCCTGTCAGTCAACAGAGAAATACTAGATATAATTTAGAACCTGGAAACCCCAGTATTGAAATTCTTTAAAATTCTTGTTTCAGCATTCATGTACTCTTTAATATTTCTCACTCACATCTAAAAGCATGTACAGCTGTGTTTTGTGGGGCCCAACAACGACCGTTAAAAATGGACCTTGTCATTTACCATAACGTAATATTTACCATTGCTACAGTATTTTCTATATTGGGATATACTGAAAAATCCCAATAAATTTAACTATTGCAGATAGTAAATGTTCAGGTCACAGCACCTTTTGTACACCGGTTGGCTGGGTAGCTTAATCACACTGAGGAAGAATGTCTCTAAGGACATAATAGAGAACACAAGATTCAGTGTCTCTCTCTTTCTGTGTATCTTGGGCCCTATTCTACAGTTCGCTGAGAACAGATGCACCATTGAAGACAATTGGGCTCCACGCAGGTGTAGCCCTGCAGGATTAAGGCTTTACCTGTTTCAGTGGTGCCTGTTATCTTGTTATATAAGAGCAGTTGTGGCCCATAGAAGATGGTAGTCTCAATGCAGATGGGTGCCAGATAGATCTTTCCTGTTTCACACTTCTTTCATAGGGTTATGATTTTTTCTTTTACTGTGTTACTATTTCATTAACTAGAAGTGTAAAGAATATTGTTACTTATTAACTGATGGCCAAATCCTGTTCCTATCAATCTCAATGGCAAAGCCTCTCTCAGGGTCCAATCCTGTAATCCTTACTCATGACACATGCGAGTAAACTCACTAAAGTTATGCAACTACTCACAAAAATAAGGACTATTTATGTGAGTAAGGTTTGCAAGACCAGGTCTGAATGTCGCACCATTCACAAGCATCAAGGGTCCATAGAATTCTGACCATTTTGAGAAATATTACACACTTCAAGCAATCATTTGGCAACGTGGCTCAGGGCCACTATCCATGAGCCTTGGGAGAGAAAACCGTTGGACATTTAGTAACTAGAAAAGACCCCAAATCCAAACACTCCAAAACTTGGGGGGTTCAGAGTTTAGACTTGGATACATCCTTATCCAGAACACTCCAAATGGTAACCCTAAAAATTCAGCAAAGAATCTTTTATACAGTTATGGTTCCTAGTTGATAGCTTTACATATATAAAGGAAAGAGAGCAGAGGGGGAATGTATTCATCATACTGTTCAAGCATTTTTTCTAGGTATTTTAAAATCTCTAAACATATTTTGCCTGCCCAGGTGTGGTCTCTCTATTCTCAGTCACTCTTCATATCTTTCTCGGAATGCTAATTTATTCCATCATGCTCCTAATTTTCCTATCTAAATATAAAGTCACAACAGACTTGTGAACTGCCATACATTTAAAAAAAAAGGGGGGGAAGTGCTATAAATATCTGTGAAACACACTCAGAATTAGTCTTCCTCTTCCATATAGGGCTTTCTGCATCTCTGGTAGTCCTAACCAATATCCCATATCAGCTCTACAGTATATTTCAACCAGTTTAAATTGTGCTTCCCAATCTTTGGGATCCATTCTGATAGAATCTTTGTCCAGCTACTATAACTTTTTCTGGGAGAATATCACAGACTCAGGGTATCTTTCTTGCTTGATATCTTCAGTTTCTAGTCCTGTTCATTATATTGGTTTCCAGTCTGGTGACCTTCTTAGCTTGGTCCATCTCATGGTTCTCTTTAACAGTTCAGTTCCATTATGTTGGTACAACACCCAACATCAAAATTATGAGCTAAATCACTTGTGCATGGGCTAATTTAATAAAGACACTGACCAAGAGGAATGAGCACCGGGTTGTAAGTCCTGAGTTCTAATCCTAGCTTGACAACAGACTCATGGTGGGGTCTTGGTAAGTTACTTTGCTTTCTATATCCCTCAGATGAGGATAATAAAACTACCTACCTCACAGAAATGGTATGAGGATTAGCTAATATCTCTACAGTGCTTTCATCATATAATGGCTAAGTATTATTAATAAAGACATTCCTTTTGTGACCTATATTTTTACCTGCTGTGTGTCTGTTCCCTTCTGACACAACAGTCTTTCAAACATTTATCTCACTTCTGTCCTGTTCTTTCACCTTTGTCACTGGTAAGCGAAGAATTAATCAATCATTTTGTTTTCTCCTTGGATCATTTTGTACGTTAGTTTTTGTTCTCATCAAACTAATAAGATTTTATATCACGGTGCATTCATCAGACTGCGCTATTGTAGCTGAGTCCTGCATTGTCTTCTATAATAACTGGACTGGCAGTCGTAATAAAGTTACCCTTATAGCATCCTTTACCCTTTTGAGTTTCTCTGTTGTTTTGTTCCTTTCAGCTTCTCTTCCTTTTCATCCTTATCCCCTACTGTATTTTAAACAGCTCAGTTGGGCCCTTATCCTTTTCACCTCATGGCCACTTTTTGCAATGAAATCTCCACTGATGATACTGAAAGAAATCCTAGCACCTTGTGTGCTTCATATAATTATTTCCTTTCATTGTTTGGATGGCTGCCTGTCAGGTGCATGAACCTGATTGATTCTCATCTCCCTCAGGTTGTACAGTGCATGCAATTGAATTTTAGGATGGTCTTCTTTGTCTGAGATATTTTGTTAAAGCCTTTCAACATTCTCAGCTCCTTTCAGGATACACCCAACCCCCACAGTGGTTGGTGCAGCTATTATTAAAAAAAAATAGTGGACTACTTTGTGAAAGTAGATGTCATTTATACCTAACCCTGTGCCATACAATCCAGCAAAATGTCCAGCCATCTGCACCTGGTTCTATTTATAATTCTCTGTAGCAGCTGACCTCTGTTGGAGATCTGGTTTTAAGTCAAACTCTCACTCTGAAGCACGATGAGCCTGAACCTGCCAGCTGCTGAGGATCAGGTCCTCTCTCTGAAAAAAGTGATTCCTATTGTCCTGTGATTCTAGCTTCACACCTTTGGGGATTCTTAAGTAATTACGGCTTTCACATGTTGATCAGATGTAGCATTACATGAGGGCAGGGGACTGGACTCGATGACCTCTCGAGGTCCCTTCCAGTCCTAGAATCTATGAATCTATGAATCTATTAGAAGGCTATAGTGGGCCAGAAGAAGGAAAAACCTGTCTTGATAAACTATAGGAGGAGGACTTTCTCGCTGAGTCAAGCACAGGCATCAATGGCTCTTATCCTACTTCTAAGACTCAGGGAGCAACTTGGTGTCAATGCAATGTCCCCTGTTCTGTCATATACCCTGGCAGTCACTGCCAAGCTTTTCAGATTACAACATTTCCTCCCACAGCACTTTCTCAAGCTATGTAGATGCAGCACCAGTGTGATGGCCATACTAGTTGGGGTAGGGGAAACTTTGATCAGACACAAGCAGAGTCTCTCTGAAAAGTACCATCAGACCTTTTATGCCCACCCAGAGTCAACAGAACCTTGATTTTTAAGGACTCAAACAGAAGAATAACCATAAACAACTGCAATTTATTTACATTGAAGGAATGACAGATTGAGACAACTCTGCAAGCATCTGAAGCAATAGCTCTAGGCTGCCTAGGACTTTCAGACTCTGCTGCATAGGCTATATGCCTTCCCCTCTGAGAACAGAGGAGAACACCCACCTGCAACTCAGCAGATGGAGTAACTGAGAGAGGTTCTGGGAGGCAAATATGAATGCAAGATGATAATGGGCAGCAAATTAAACATGAGTTTTCAATGCAACCAGACCACAAAAGTCAGTGCACTCTAGGGCTATCTAAACACAGATGCATCATGTCTTGGAGCTGAAAATAATCCCTCTCCACATGGCACTGGTGTGACCGTGCCTTGGATACTGCATTTGTTCTGGGCACCTCACTGCTAGAAAGATATAGAAAAACTGGAGGGAGTTCAAAGAAAAGTGACATAAATGATGTGGAATTTGCCCATGAAGAAAGGTTCAGGGCTGAGCATGTATACCTTAGCAATGCCTAATAGCCTACAATAATCTGAAGTCTGAAAAGATCAAGGATGGCTAGAAATTATTAAGGGCAGCACAAAGGGGTGTGTCTAGGAGTGATAGGATGAAATTAAGAATCAGAAAATTCTTACTGAATATCAAGAAAATTTTCCTTTTAGACTGTAGAATAGACTCCCAATGGAAGCAGTAGAATTTGCCATTTGAGAACTGAAAATTCAACCAGACAATGCACTAGAAAATGCCCTGGACAGAACAATCCTGCACTGGTGGGCAAATGGACTGGACTATCTAACAGATCTTTCCCATCTTTAATTTCTCTTTGTTTTTCAACCTCCAGTCTTCCTTGGACATTTCACAGCCAATCTATCCTAGGCAGATCCTCATCACTGCAGTACCTAAGGTAAGCATGCACCCAGCCACTGCCTGACTTATATAGCTTGTGAGAGCTGAAAGGGTAAAAGCACAAGGTGGGATGGCTGCAGTCCTTTCTAGTAGAAATGCTGACACAGTTGGGACTGCACTTTTGTTAAAGAGATGCTCTAACAAAAAAACCAGATGTCTCAATTGCTTGTATAACACATTCATGGACTGTGTAATAAAATTTAATAGCACCCTCCTTTGTCTTCTACTGATACATCCTGGAAAAAGAAAAACATATCTGTCTTGTGAAATATATTAAAACTGTTCCTTGT